TCTGTATACAGTTGCCTGTTAGCTATGCTTGTGTACTTGTATTGGTTCATGTGTCACTTTGACTCTGTAAGGCAGGGCAATCCCTCGCAAATATGTGTTTATCTGTGTGCTCACTTTGTGTAGTATCTTGCAGCGCGATGTATGCCCCTATACAAGGGGAGTAAAGCGGAACAAGCGAATTAGATTAAACGATACGAAAATACTATTATAGAACAACTGTGGTTCATAAATACGACACGGAGGGAAATGCCCACGTTACCTTACTGAGATAATCGCTATAGCAACACAATAGAAGAAAAAAGAAGCAGCTGTTCATTGTCAGAGACTAGAAGATTTCCGCTGCATACTGGATTATTGCTACTTGTGGCACGTGCATATGTTGTTGTTATATTGTGGGTGCGATCATAGTCACCTCACTGGTCAGCAAAATGTATATTTTTGGCAAGCGTAGCTTTTTATAATAAATCACAAGTGCATGTGTACCTTTATATATCCGACTTTATTGGCATCGTCCTGTGTACGGAAACATTTGTGTATGACATCCATGATATAACTATTCTCTGACGTCGTGCCACGCATTACATATAGAGCCCCACTCATAAGGCCTGTGTACATCGATCGATTAGGTATGGAAGCGACTATGACGGTCCCAACGGGCAACAGAATCCACAACAACAACGGCATCTGCCGAACCCATCGCAAATGAAAAGGGGCCGGTCCCCGAGTTTGAAGAATGGACAGGGTGGGCCCGACGACTGGAGCAGAATTGAACAGCAAAAGGTGGGTGTGAATAGTTAGCAGTTGATTCGAGACTATAGGATATATTATATATATACACATACATATACCTCGGATCCATATCCACGAATATGTTAGAACAGAGAGTGAATCTGATCGGTATTCAATTTAAAAAATTTCTATTCTCGCTTTCAGTCAGACATATATCATATTCATCTGGATTGACTCATTTAGTGGACAGCCTTCACACGTAGAAACCCTTACTTATATTCACCGGCGAGAAAAAATAGGCATGTTCACAAGCATTCTGATCACGGCATGTTCTGGCCTCGGGTGAGATTTTATATAACCCAACATGATAACATGAATATCCTCCGCCTATCAGGACCGATTCCTCTGTATCGTGTGTTGTACCTGTTGGAGTCTGTTGGTTGATTCTTCCAAAATTTGAAACACTACAGGTTCACGAACGCTACTTGTACTTGATAGCCTGCTCACACCTATACTGACTCACTCCTCTGTATCACACAAATTCATAACTCGTCTACCTTTGTCACACACAGGGTATGCACGGTGACCGCGGCGGACCCCAATCTCAGAACATGGGAAGCAGCATGATGCCACAAGGTGCCGGTAGTAAAGCCCCCGGTCCCAAGAATATGCGAGGTCAGCCACCTCCCCCACAACACATGAAAGACGATAATCAGGGCGGCCAGGGAGGCTATACTCAAGGTAATACGAATCAGAGTATGAGTCATCCTATTTTCAATAGGTATGACGGTGATGCACCTCCCGGGCCTCAAGGGCAAGGTCAGGGCCAAATGACTGAGGAAGAATGGCAGTACCAGCAACAACAGCAGAGAGGTGGTGGTGGTCAGCAGTTTTATCAGGTATGGTTTCATGTGTGAGTAGCAATTATACAAGGTTGCTAACCTTTGTTGCAAGTGTTCGTATATAATCAATTGTACAACTATGGTATAGTGCATATACAATCATTTGTGCAGTTATATGGTATAGTGTATATATATACTCTGTTTGCACATATATACTGATTTCCTAAAGTGATGTATATGTATGTATATTACACATGCAAATTTAAAATGTACATATCCATATGAAAGTTCAAACCTCACATTTCATTCTTCGAACCAAGTATGCTGTGTCAATCTCAAGGCAGCAACGAACTCTAACTCTAACTCTTAACTCAAATTCAACGCTTTACCTCAGGATGGCCGCATGAGACCCGATGATAATCGAGGCGACGGTATGAAAATGGGTAAGTCTAAAGACCTCATTGTTGAAGCTCGGATAAGTTTTAGCATGCGAGTTGTTATCGTGAATGCGCATGCAAATCGTATCTTCCTGTACAACCGATATTGTACTGTGGCGCTGTAGCAGCCAATTAGAGAACTCCTACCGTCTTGGTACCCATCTATGTATTCTGTTTATAACTTGTATCCTCATGGTGGTTTAGAGAGCACCTTTGGCCAGTTTTAGGCACGTTACGCTCGTGGTTGCTTAATCACCACGTGTGAGGCGATACGGGTGCAGTGCACATATTACACATTCACATTCACATATACTAGAACACATTACACATTCACATTCACATATACTAGAACACATTACACATTCACATTAACATGTACTAAACTACGGAGGCATTCTATTCTATAATTGATTGAAATAAATTTTTTTTGGCAGTCAACGGCCAGCCTGGTATGCAGCAGGGCGGGGGACCCCCATCAATTGGTGGTATGAACTCGTACGGCAAAGTGGGCATCAGACCCAATAAGCCCACATCGGTCAGCAGGCCTCATTCTCAGGGGTGTGTCACTTCACCTCTCTGATGTTTTTATGCGCGCCTGTGGTATTTGTGTATTGAGAATTATTCATGTGCAATAGATGGCACTGATTAGATACATTCAGTTGTGCATATGTCAAGTAACACGCGTTACAGATCGATTCACGTATATAAACGGTTATACTTGCTTCATGCCTATATCTTTGCTGGTAGAATTTGAAAAGAATCGTCTATACAGACGTATACAATTGCCGATGTATACACACTGGTGAAAGTCTTCTGCAAGAAAATAAAACAATCATGTTATTTTTCAACGTCCGTAGTGTGACCTTATTATTCGGGAATGAACAATTATTGGTCGTACATATTTATATACACGTATGAGTATAGCTTGTCTTATTATTCGGGAATGAACAGTTGTTGGTCTATACATATTTATATACACGTATAAGAATGACTTGTCTTATTATTCGGGAATGAACAGTTATTGGTCTGTACATATTTATATACACGTATGAGTATAGCTTGTCTTATTATTCGGGAATGAACAATTATTGGTCTGTACATATTTATATACACGTATGAGTATAGCTTGTGACGTATGAGTATAGCTTGTGTACTAGTTCGTATGCTCTCTTAATTTGTACGTTTCTAGATGTAATCCTATGGGGTTTATTTCATTGAATGAACCATTCGGCATACCAACTTGCACGTACATGCCAATCTGCGCCATAGCGCCTATTGGACCCGCAAGTCTATATGAATATTTCAGTATCCTTACAATCATTCGTGAGTATTGCTTGGCAACTTAGCACGGGTTGAAAGTACGTTGATCGCATATGTTGTACTCGTAGGCAAGTCTACAAGCGTGCAGAGTATGTGTTTGTTCGTATACAGAATGGACGTATGCTCTAATTTCAGCACACTCTAGAACACCAATACGTTTGCTTGATTCTGAATCGTCTGCTCACAAATTGCAAATACGTTCTCCCATCTTATTCACTATTTACAGAGGGTTCTCAAATCAGTATAACGGAATCCAATAACCTCAGTAGAAAACGCAGCCTCGAAACCAACTGTGCTTCGAATCAAACCCCACACCACTGATCGATCCTTGCCGGTGATCATACCTATCTACCAAAACCGGAGAACACAGGTGCCTTGTACATAATATAGTACGGGCGCGCTGATGTTTTAAATACTTGATCATCTATACGAGAATAGCCAACTAAAACCTTTAAACGAGCAAGCTCAATATGACTATCAGCCGCGCCGAAATGGCCCGGTGGCTCCATTGTATAAATTTAAAAGCAAGTTAAACTGCATACTAAGTGACAATGAAAGTAATAAATTACATTCGAAAATGCAAGTGCACTTTGTTTTTTAAATCCGAAAACGTTGAACGACAATAAAATTATATTCGAATCCGTATAAGCGCCACAAGGTGAATAGACTAAATTATGGAGGAAAAGGGAACCAACAACGCTAACATTATAGACTGTCCGGCTGCCACATGTGATGTAGATGGAGTGGATTCATGAACCGGCGCTCACGCAAAGTAGGTACTCAGGCCTTGCCATGTGCGGTATGCCTTCAATAAATCGGATTCGACGACCTCAGCGTGAGCGGGTTGTTCAGGACTGGCTCGTGACACATCCAAGTAGGTATATTTATCAACGTGTGTATGGTGACTGAGTCGATTCTTGTCCATTTTTAGGGGAGAGTGGGGGTTTTGGTTTAAGCTCAACGTTGCACTATACACTCGCACATTCACGTTGTAATTGCCAGTAGAGTTGCGGTTACTCCTACGACTTGGTCCGAAAGGAGGAACCACAGGTACTGTGCTGGACTTATATAGCTGCGGCAGGAAATATTGCGCATTAAGTGTAATCTTTGTCACATTTGGTTCTATTCGTGTAAGCCTTCTGGCAGTTCGGTACTAGGAAATCCGGTACACCTTTGGGTCTGGGGCCTCTTACAATAGTTTTAATTCTATAATGAGAGGTCGAAATCGGAAAATTTCAGAGCAGGCTTCCATCGACAGCTTGAAGTACCCGGATACTGGTCGATTTTTGAACCGAAGAAGCCACCTGGTTCTGACAGTGAGGAATATTGTAATGCAGAATCGGCTATATTTCATTGTCACTTAACCCGGAAAATAGTGGATCGTTAATTCGTTACCTCAATTCGTGCTTTTGGGCGTGCGCCGGGTAGTAGCTGTATTTAACTAGAAAGGTACACCGGCGCTAGTAGTACAATGAGAGACTTGCCCGAGTGCCCAACTATTTTGTTCAATCGCTGCAGTGTTGAATACCCGCCCTAAAGGAACTGGTAATAAGAGGAATATAGCTTCAGACCCAGCAGATAGACGTGAATTTGGCAACTGATTCAAGGCTTCGATGGCCAGGGTGCAGAAATTAGGATGTCTTCCCAACCATTATACTCGAGGAGTGATTTTAAAGATACTCGTGTGCGTCTATTGGATTACTTGGGGGGTTCCTTAACAGCAGACAAGCTTGCAAGGGAAAACATCCCAGTTCGTTCTCTAAGGCCATCGCATCTCGCAAAAGCTACAAACGAAAAGCACAACGCGATCAACCATAGAGGTGCGAGATAGTAGAAGAGAAGGAACATTACATCGAATAGTTTAGACGCCTTGAGGCAAGCGGCGATTGTTTAGGTAAAAGCAGGTGTACTGCAGACTTCGAAAGACCAAGCTTCGGGAAGTAGCGGCTTTTCATAAGAATGCAAGCCAAGAGATGAAAGAAATCACAGTCATTCGAATATGGGCTAGAGAACACAGGGACCTGGGCTTTGCTGTGAAATACACACCCCAAAGTATATTAATTTGTGCTAGCCAACGTGAAAATACCCCGCTCAGATAGGGGTATGGGATGGTACTACATAGAAAAAAGTTGGTATGAACGGAAACCGCTAACCTTGTCTTTATTTCGAAACATATTGTACTTTAGCCAGGGGTGCACATAGTTGTATCGCTTCCAGGGCGAGCTTACTTCGTCCAACTCACCTTCGGCACATCGTAATGCTCACTTATAGTATCCAGGTATTGATTCAGATCCTGAGGAAAAAGCCAGACATCGTATCAGTATACATATCCATACAATGCAGCGAAGTGTGTGTTGGACAGCAGATATCATAACTTAATTAATGAGAATATTAAATTACGCAACCTAACCAAATAATGGACTATATACGCGGTCACATTACACCATCCCTATATCATAGCGTCAAACGCATAAACGTATTTAATCATGAACTTCAACCTCGATCCGCACCCAGAAGGAAACAGAAAGTACGTATTGCGCCACAGAACATAAAGGGGTACAGAAACGAAACACATTCAAATTCAGGTCCAGATTACTACTCAGAGCACACCACAGTTACAACTCGGCTCACTGTGCGCACAGTATTTCTAGCAATGCGTATTCCCTTTGAACTCAGACAGTTGCCTGATATGACGGGAACATCGCGCATTATGGCGAAGCAACAAATGGTCTCGATACGACTAGAAGCAGGGGCTTCACAGATACAACTCCACACCATCCACTTCATGTATGACAAAATTGAAACATTCGAAGTTAGTGCAGAAACGATACATAAAAATTCAGATATGCACGGACGGACGAGTAAGAAGCTCAACAAGCGGTGAACGTACCTCCACCTTCTCCTTGTGTGACTTTAACGCTTTCTTCTTTATCCTGTCGATTTCCTGAAGGTACCAGAGCATGAACAGTTAGCGCAAACACCACAAGCATAAATCTGCACCATCTTGTATAGGTCGGGCATGAATGCAGCGTCTCACTAATTATTACATTCGCCAGCAGAACAAGCGGCGTTCGACATCGCACACGAGCAGGCATAGTTGAATGCGGTTGTACATTGATAGTGCAACAAATGTAAAAAGGTTCCTAGCGCGTACACACACATATGTATCTGTATGCACATAGTGTAAGTCTTGTTGAAATGAGTCAAGACTGCCTTGTAAACGAAATTGTTCATATGCGATGCGAGAGTTAAGCCAGCAACAGATCGGGGCAAACACAGCACATCGATACTGGGGCATTCTGTAACAATACACTTTGCACACAACGAAGACGAATGAGACCCATGAATACCACTCAGTTACATCCCATTAGCTGCGTTTTAAGGTAAACAAATTCCCTAATCACAGGGATATAATAAAATATATAGAATTTCGGTCTAATGAAAATACAGCAAAAGGCGCCGGGTCCAAGCATACCTTCTGCTGTTGCGGACAAACTCATTTATCCCCCCATAAACGCTGTAACTCACATCGATTTCTCCATCTTAAAAGTGAATAGTGGCGCACACATTTTGCCTTATACGATGACATACCCTTTGTCGCTTTATCGCATCAAATTTCTTCTGACTTTCTGTTCTCCTATCCACCTTCGTGATTTCTTCTGGTTGTGCAAAAGTCTTTGCGCTCTCCTCGGATGCCGACTGACTTTTCTTTGTTCCCTTTTTATCTTTTTTTATCTTTCTAGAAGTTCCCAGTTTAATGCACACAACAATTGTATAGTAATGGGTATGTTGAAGGAATAACGATTGCAATCGAACCCCCATGACGGACACAACTGTATATCGGTATTGTAAATTCACATACACACACACACGCACGCACGCACGCCCAAATACACACAACACAGACACACATACGTATACACTCAGACACAGACACAGACATAGACACACAGACACAAACACGCATAGTCACAGACACAGACACAGACATAGACATAGACACACGCACACAGACACAGACACACAGACATATAAACATACATACATAAATACATACATATATATATATATATATACCATTATATACCTATGTACACACAGACACAGACACAGACATACCCACACACACATATATATATATATACATATAGATTAACTTATATATGTATACTACACATACATATATACATATATAAGTATATATATATACACACACACACACACACACACACACAACAA